CTGCAGCCTCGACCTGCTGGGGCTCCAGCGAACCTTCCGCCTCAGCCTTCCAAGTAGCTGGAATTACAGGCATGCGCTACCACACCCAGGTGATTTTTTTATTTATTGTAGAGATGAGATCTCGCCAAGCTGCTCAGGCAGGTCTTGAACCCACGAGCTCAGACAATCCACTCACCTCAGCCTCCCACAAAGCCTAAAATTACATCAGTCTATAAATCACACTTTGTTCTCATTTCAGAATTTGCTGCAAATGAAGTTTCCTTGGATTTTAACGTCACTTTAGTTTGGCCCCAGGTGTGGGTTCTTTATTTCATCTCTTTTGCCTTTATAATTTCTGGCAGTAAATTTTGATTCAATAAGGGGAAAGTAAACTGGCACAAATTATCTTCTACTAATATTTACAGGCATCTCTCATTTGTGCTCACTTCATGGAGAAAAAAGGGGGAAGGGGTTTCAAGGGTTGGTGAAAGTAATGCTTACTGACCAAAAAGGAAAGAGTTTCTCTTACTTTACTTCTGTCAACCTTTACCTCAATGTCATGATTACAATTACTTCCTCTATCACTTGGTTCTCACAAAATTCATATATATGCATATGTGTGTATATATGTATATAGTCCTACTTTATTTTAAAATATAAAGGCTTTATTAAAATATAATTCATGGCTGGGCACAATGGCTCATGCCTATAATCCCAGCACTTTGGGAGGCCGGGGTGAGAGGATTGCCTGAGCCCACAGGTTCGAGATCAGCCTGGGCAACTTAGCGAGACCTCATCTCTACAATAGATCAAAAAATTATCCAGGTATGGTGCTGTGTGCCTGTGGTCCCAGCTACTTGGAAGACTGAGGTGGAAGAATCGCCTGAGCCCAGCAAGTCGAGGATGCGGTAGCTCTGAGCGTGCCACTGCACTCCAGCCTGGGCAACAGAGTAAGACTCTGACTCAAAAAAATAAAAATATATAATTCACATACCATACAATTTACCCATTTAAAGTGCACAATTCAATGGTACTATCACCACAAACAATTCACAATGATTTCATTGTCCCAAAAAGAGATCTCTTCTCCTTAGCAATCACTCTGCCTACTTTTTAACTGGGTTGCCTTTTTATTATTGAGTTGTAAGAGTTCTTTATATATTCTAGATACAAATCATTTATAAGATGTATAACTAGCAACTCTTTTTCCCATTCTGTGGGCAGTCATTTCACTTTCTTGGTGGTGTCCACTGATACACAAAAGTGTATCATTTTGATAAAGTCTCATTTATCTGTTTCCTTTTGTCACTTGTATTTTTGGTGTTGTGTCCAAGAAGGTTCTGCCTAATTCAAGGTCAAGAAGATTTATACCTATAGATTTATACCTATGTTTTAAGAGTTTCATAATTTCAGCTCTTACATTTAGGTATAGGATCCATTTTGAGTTAATTTATTACCTGGCATAAGATAGGAATCCAAATTTATTGTTTTACATGTGAATATTCAGTTGTCCTAGCACCATATGTTCAAAAGACTATTATTCCCCATTGAATGATTTTGATACCCTTGTCAAAAATCAATTGACCAGAGATATACAGGCTTTGTTCCATATGTTCAATTTGTTCCATATTATCTCATTGACTGTGTTTCTATGTTTATGACAGCTGACATAATCCGGATTATTGCAGTTTTGCAGCAAGTTCTGAAATCAGAAAATGTCAGTCCTCCAACTTTGTTCCTCACATCATTAAATCACTATGGGTAATTTTAATGTCTAGATATTTATTTTATGAAATATCTTTATGGGAAAATACTGTGAAAAATTTTTGAACAGCTAGGAAATTTCCATCCCCAACTGACTAACAGAAATATTACCAATCTGACTGATCAGACTGCAAGGCATTTATCAGGCCATGTTCACTGATGGAGAAAGAATTATAGGAAAAAGTCAGTGCACCTGTTATAACTTACTTTCTTCAAACTCTTTCTCCAGTGCAATTGGTCAGATTTGGGTACTATAAGAGATGAAGTAGAGCAAGTATCACAGAAATCCAAAGACAACTAGTTTAGGAAAATGAGAAACTCCATATGCTTCAGTCATTTGCCAGAGATCTCTACATTGAAGTTCCAGGTGCTAGTCAAAAATCAAATGTCACTCTGCTTTCCTTTGCCATTTTTCCTTGTGAAAATACATCGCTCTCATATCAGTGGATGGCACAGGGTTCAGAAATTCTAGGGAGCCATGCCCATAATATCATTTTAAAAATCTAACAGTAGTCCAAATCCCAAAATAACTTTTAGAAGTTAAGATATAATCAGTAACCTTAGAACCTTGTTAAAATCTTCCTGTGTCAAAGTTCTACTAATCATGTTCTAAAGCTTCCCACATGTCCACCTGCTTGTGGAGCAGTCACATCTCCTGGTTTCCAAAAGGAAACGCCTCACCGACTGCCACTGAGCATACCCTTCATTTTTAAAATATTTTCCTCAGGTAAAGGTCCAGTTGATTCCCCAATCAGAAAATACTGTAGTCTGGCACATAAAAAATAGAACACAAAGCCTCCAGCTAAAAAAAAAAATTGGCCAGGAGCGGTGGCTCGACCTGTAATCCCAACACTTTGGGAGGCCAAGGCGAGAGGATTGCCTGAGCCCACGGGTTCGAGACCAGTCCAGGCAACTTGGTGAGACCTCGTCTCTACAATAAATAAAAAATTAGCTGGGCGTGGTGGCATGCGTCTGTAGTTTCAGCTATTTGGAAGGTTGAGGCGAAAGAATTGCCTAAGTCCAGCAGGTGGAGGCTGCGGTGGCCAGGAGCGTGCTGCTGCACTCCAGCCTGGGCAACAAGTGAGATTCCAACTCAGAAAAAAAAAAATGCATGCTAGTCTTTTGGGGCTTCTGAAGTAGAAATGATTATTCTTCCTGGGTGCCTTTAATACCAGCACTTTTAGCCGGGCTCGGTGGCTCAGCCTATAATCCTGTGCCTTTGGGAGGCTGAGGTGAGTGGATTGCCTGAGCCTGTGGGTTCGAGACCCGCCTGGGAATCTTGGCGAGACCTCATCTCTACAATAAATTTAAAAAAAAAAAATTAGCCAGGTGTGGTAGCACGTGCCTGTAGTTCCAGCTACTCGGAAGGCTGAGGCGGAAGGATCGCTGGCGCCCAGCAGATCGAGGCTGCGGTGGCTGGGAGCGGCCACTGCACTCCAGTCTGGGCAACAGATTAAGACTCCAACTCAAAAAAAAAAAAAATACCAGCACTTTGGAAGGCCAAGGTGAGAGAGGAATGTTTGAGCCCAGGACTTCAAGACCAGCCTGAGCAACATAATGAGACCTTGACTCTACAAAAAAAAATCAAAAAAATGAGCTGGGCATGGTGGTATGTGCCTGTAGTCCCAGCTACCTGGAAGGCTGAGCTGCAAAGACTCCAGAGCCCAGGAGGTAGAGGCTGTGGTGAGCTGTGACCGTGCCACTGCACTCCAGCTTGGGCAACAGAGTGAGACCCTGACCAAAAAAAAAAAAAAAAAATCACTAATAATAAACAGTATGTTTTAAGCTTTTCAAGAAATGGTACAAAAGAGTGTTGGCTAACTCCACAGGAAGACCTCTGGCCCCACTTGCAGGGCCCAGTGAAGTTCCTGGTCAGATGGGGATAATATGAGAACACTGGATACTCAAAAGAATTGGGAGCAAAATGGGAAAAACAGAAGAAGGTATTAACTCTTATTTCTACATTGTGACTCTTAATTTGTGAGACTGGGATACAAATGTTGTATAGTACAACCAAATCCCAAGGAAAGCAAAGAGACAAATGGGAAGACTTCATTGTATCTGCTTGATCAGAAGCTTGAAAGTCTACATAAATGCTACTCCAGCAACAAGAAAACCTTAAGAACAGCACTGAACTACTTATTAAAAGCCACTCCTTGCAAAACTCCACAACTACTTCCAAAATGCTTCTTATCTGAGAGATCAATCCG